GCCCTGGCGAGGGGCTGTCTGAGGTGCCGGGGCAGGGCTCCCGGGCTGCCAGCCCGGAGGGGTTTGTTGGCACGGAGAGCGTTTCGGCGCTGGACGGGCACGGGCTTTTAGTGAGGGGCCGCTAGCCCTGAGGGGGCAGAGCGTACAAGCGCATCGGGTTCTGCATCCGTTGCCGCGATGCTTGATGGGCGAACTTGATTTGCCGTTTAAGGCCAAAAAAATCCTCCGTTTTTCTTAAAGCTCTGCACGGTCCTGCTGGTCCTTAATAATTATTGCGAAATAGAGATGCTGGTCTCGTGGTAAGAGTACTGACAAATCTAATTCTTTTATTTTGGAACCTAGAAAATCACAGCAGAGATGGCCGCGTTCCTGCAGAGGTTGCGTCAGAAGGTGAAAGTTGGGGTCGTGGGTGGTTCAGATTTTGGAAAGATTAAGGAGCAGCTTGGAGATGACGGTAAGGATAGTGGCTGATGCAATCCCTTACGCTGAGTTGCTTACGAGGAAGTTGTGAAGGTTAAATGTAGGTTAAACCCCTTCATTCTCCTCCTTCCTTGCTTTAAACTTTTTTCCTGTTTCTGTTGTGTTGCACTGAATCTATGAAAAGCTCTTTACAGGCAACTGCAACCTGTGTTTGCGTTTTACGGGTATCTCGGTGTCTCATTGAGGGATAGTTACTAATAGTGAAACCCTGACTTTGTGACAGTGCCTTAGGAGGGCAGTTTAACGTTGTCATTTTAAAATGGAATTATGTACCTAAGATACACGTGTGCAGGCTGCTCAGATGTCCATCCCTGAAGGATCTGATTTTGCTAACTGTGGGATTATGATGCAGAGATGGATTCTCACTTTAGTCCTTTGAGAGGCATTTCCTTTTCTGTATGAAAGACCATCTTTAACGCTCTTTACTTAGTTGATGCCGCTGATAGCCTTCTGTAATGCCCAAATAACTCAGAATTTGTTTGGCTTACAAGTGGTCTCCAGTAAGCCGTATCATCTTGCATTTTAGTAAGATTCTCACAACTCTTGGACATCTCCCGTAGATTAGTAACGTTGAGAAAACAAACCTAAAATAGCAGTATTCCACCAGCTCTCTAGCCAGGCTGTGTGCCAGGTTTTTGTAGTATTGGAGGTGTTCAGTCACTTCCTTACGTGTAATGCAAAGTGACATACTTGCAGGAGAGGAAGAGCCTTTAAGCAAAAATACAGGTAACTTAACTGAAAGATTTCATGTGATTTGAGGTGTGTGTTAATCTTGGAGGGAAATGAGAGTGGTTTTGGTCTTGTGCTCGATGTTACGCTGCTGAATCTTTCATGCTTTATGATCTAATGTTTGCTGTATTTTAACCTATTTGCTGCGTAAGGGAATTCTGCATTAAACATACAGGGGAAATTATAAGTTATTGCCTTTTTGTTTGGTTGTAGTGGTTGAAAAATTTGACTACGTTTTTCCAGAAAATGGTCTTGTAGCATACAAAGATGGGAAATTCTTGAGCAAGCAGGTAAGCGTGAAATTTCCAGTAATGTGAAAGAGAAATTTTCTAAACAAGATTTTGCTTTGTTGCTACAGTGCGGTCCTCTATAATCACCCTTCTAACTAAGGCCAAAATCGCTGCTATTTTCATGTGTTACTTCTATAACAGATCATTCATTTGGCGCTCTGATTCATGTAATGACAATCTGCACCTTAAGCTTTATTCTTCGCGGTATTCTCAAAACCAAAAGCTATTGGAGTCTGGAGCGCCTGATCAAATAAGAACAGTGAAAATCCTGGAACAGCCTTTCCCTCAGCTTATCCATAGGAAATGTGGCCAAGCCCTCTGCTCCTGGAGGTCCTATGGAATACGGCATTTCATAGCTGATGTCTGTTGGGCCGTAGGGTTCAGAAAGCTTCTTGTAGACCTCTTGTAGCTGCTTTGTAGTATTAATTCAGAGCGCGCATTCTGATATGCTGCATAAGCTAGAAGGTAAATACTCTAAATTAATATAAACGTACATCTGATTCTAGATACCCTAATCACCTTCATCAGTTCAACATAAGTAATGGAGATAAAAAAATTCAAAGAGGTCCTGGCTGAAATTGCTGACTTGAGCAGTGGCTTCCAGTTTACTGCAGTAACGATCTCCATTTCTTCATGCTTGGCTACAGTAGACGTTACTGCAACTTTTTGTTTAGGTCTGCTGTCTTTGGCCCACACTGTTTCCTTCTAAAGCAAGTACTAGCAGGGAGCGTATTAAATGAGAGTTTGGTGTTATGGTTTAAAAAAACCAAAGTAAACAAAAAAAAAATGAGAGCCTTTCATTAGTACCGTGTGTGCATCAGCTGAGAGTTAGTTGTTGAAGGCATGTTTCTTTGTGGTATTAACCATGCCTGATTATCCAATGTCTGTGTTTTCCATGTGACTTGTTTTTGGAATCTCAAATTCTGGACCCTTGGTTGAATGGTATTTATTTTGTTAGAACATTCAGGGTCACCTGGGTGAGGACATACTTCAAGATCTAATCAATTACTGCCTGAGTTATATTGCGAAGATTAAACTGCCAAAGAAAAGGTAGGTGCGTACACGCATCTCGGTGTCACCATATTCTCCGTGTTACAGTGTCGAGCATCAATATGTAAAGCAGGCTGCTCAGCAAAAAATGAATAATTTGTGTTTTAGGAACACTGTATACATGAAACAGAGCTCAATCCATGCATACAACAAAGACAAGCTCCCAAATGGAGCACAGGATTTGAAATACTGATTGAGCATTTTTATTTAAGAGGGAAGGAAGTTCAGTTTGGGAGCGGGAGTGTTTCCTTGACATGTTTGGCATTCAGCAGCATAATGTTTTCCAGAGATTAGAAGCATGCAGTAAGATCAGTTCTATGTGACGTGAGGGCGCAGCTGCTCAAGACACTGATAGATACCACATGTGAGGCTAGCTAGAAACACTGCCCAGACTGCTCTAAGTTTTGCCGTTTCACCCCAAAGCTGACAGACTGGCCTGTCAGGGTCTGAGAATTGGGTTGACAGGATGCTCCAGTCATACTTTTGAAACAAATCATACTTTAAAAAGTCAGTAAGGATGATGTTGAGGTTGCCAGATTCAAATAAAAGTCCAAAAGGCTCTTGATGCCAGAGGTTTTGGTTCCTATCAGTTGGTTTTTATGCATGCAATGAGAGGCTGAAGGAGGCATCTGATTCCCATTGTCTTCAGAATTAAACGAAAGTTCTTTGTGATATTCAGTATTTTGAATTCAACTATTTTCTGTCTCGTTAATCAATTTTTTTTTTCAGGGGCACTTTTATTGAGTTCCGAAACGGGATGTTAAATGTGTCCCCCATTGGAAGAAGCTGCAGCCAGGAAGAACGAGTTGAGTTCTATGAACTCGATAAAGTGAGTTACAACTCTTGAAAAATATCCAGTTCTTCTGGAAGAGGCAGTTATGGCCAGGTTATGATTTTTCAAAAGCTTTTATACTTTGTGTGATTTTTTTTCATTTTAATCTGTTCCGTGTGGTTTAACTAACTTCTTAGTTCAGACTTCAGGAAATACACAATAGTTTTTTTGTTGCAATAGTTAACAATGATTACTTGCAGAAGGGGTGGGTTTGGCTCATGTTTCTTTTAACCCTATATCCAGAGTACCGAACATCCTACCTCTACACACGGGGTTCCTGAAAACCCCTGTTGTAGATAAAACCATACTTATCTGGAGTGCTCCTTAGTATACACCAGCCTATAGCCATTTATCTGGAGCTCCTTAGTATACCCCAGCCTATAGCCATTCAAATCAATAAAACTATTACTTTTCTTGTCAACTTTTTAAAGCCTTTTAAAGCAGAATTTAAAAGCTGAGGTCAAACTATTCACCATTTATTTCCCTTTGTACACAGCTAAATGTGTGAGGCTGAAATGAATCTGACCATGATATCAGAGTTCTGTTCCCTGCTACACCGTTAACAACTGTTTCTGATCCGATATAAAAACTGAAACCTATTTCCTCAAAAGCAGTCTTTGCCTGTGACTCAGTTAATGGATGCTGGAAGATATCTAAGCCCAAGACGTTCTGAAAATACCCTTTTTGGAGTATATGGCATCAGAAGATAGGTACCAGTTTTGAGACTCTTCCTATGCCTCAGTCTCCCCATTTGTAAAACTGGATTTTACCGGGAGTTGAAGCATACTTCCTTAGTATTCCACGATTGTCAGATAGAAAAGCAAATATCACAGCATGCGTGTGAAGTTTTGCTCTTATTTTTTCACAAGTCGGTAACAGATTAAAGTGGAAATATTCTCAGCATGCTTTCAGTAATGATAAAATATAGCTATATCACACTAGTCCTGGTACTCAGACCTCTGGATATTTTTGGGGTGGTTTTTTGGGTTATCTTTTTATTGATGAATTAACACAGCATGTAACTGATGTTTGGTTTTGTTTTGTTGTTTGCTTTTTTTTTTAAACAGAAGGAACATATAAGAGAGAAATTCGTAGCTGATTTACGAAGAGAATTTGCAGGAAAAGGCCTCACATTTTCTATAGGTATCAAATTTAAAAGAATTTTCTTTAAAACATCATTTAATTTAAATTTCACATAAATCATATCCTTTTATGGATACGACGTATCCTATCTCATTTGTGTGACAGTTATCTCTCTGGGGGTGGTTGCAGGCATTGCATGCAAGACTAAGCCTCTTTTTCCTCTTAGGCTTTCATTTGGTACATTTTAATTGAAATCCATCAACAGAGACACCTTCATTGCTTGTCATCAGTTCATTGTCTTTTAATGTCAGTTGTGTGACTGATTCTGCTCATTTTGAAACACATCACATGCTTCTGATCAGTCAAGAGTTGTTTCTGCGAATCAATTTTGATCAGAAGTACTACATCAGTACTGTTCCAGTAGCCCTGGGTTCTTCGGTTCTGTAGCTGCATTGTGTGGGAGGAAGGAGAGGAAAGAAAATCCAAAAGCAAGTGCAAGCTTAAAGAGAAAAGTGGTAATAAGGGGGAATTAATTTTCCATGCATTTTTTTTCTTTTCCCTTTTCTTTCCCCAATATATTACCACATAATTATTTTTCAGAATTATAAAAAAGTATGGTTGCCATTAGAGCTGTGGTGTATTGAAACACTAAGGCGGAAATGAACTGCCAATATAGCTCTCCACAGGCATGCTGTAAATACCTTCTTGACACCCACTTCGACTGGGAATCACGCTTTTATGTGTTGGTGATATTCAATCCAATCACAATCTCAGTGATTGTGTGGAACTGGAACAGTTGTTGTCCTGTTAGGCTGTGTTAAAAAGGCCGATTTCCTCCTTTTTCTATTCTGAAAGCTTTAGAAAATCTTTTGCGTAAGACTCTATGGCTGTACATACACCAATGGCTGTATTCATTCCTGTAGTTCCTTTCTAAAAATAAAAAGATTAAATGCAGTTTTTAAGAAAAGGTTCAGTTTGTTTGAGAGCAGTCAGTGTTTGGGAACACGCTAAGACTGTCATATTTGTTTAATGGGTAAATAATAATCTGTAAATCACAACTGTAATAACTGATACCCTATAAAACACTTGCTGTACTTGTAAGACTTAACTCTGGGGGTCTCATAACATTTCTGTGACTTCTGCAAAGCTCCTTCTACCAAAAATCTTACCCAGTTTAGTTTTTCCTCACTTACTCTCCCCTCAGAAATGTGTTGTTATAATAAAACAGTTTGCTTGGTTCATGTCTATCCTAGGAGGCCAGATAAGCTTCGATGTGTTCCCAGATGGCTGGGATAAGAGGTACTGCTTAGGAATCGTTGCCGACGATGGATACGAGACTATTTATTTCTTTGGAGATAAGACTATGCCCGTGGGTATATTGTTTTGTATATACATTTCAGAGCTTCTATTTTAAACCACAAGCCCTGTAGGTTCTCACCAATTGCCTTATGCCTGACAAGAATTGAAGTCAGAGTGTAAATGTGACCACGTGTCCGTGTGTAACTGGCTGTGCATTACTGGTCGGCACAATGCTGGGAGATAGCCCTGAGCAGGGATTTTTCTTCCGTTTCCTGAAGTGAACACAGTGTTCTTGACAGACTTAATACTGGAATATGTTTTTAAATTGAGCTTCCGTAATTATGTTAAAAACCTAGGTGACACGGCTATGTAGAACTCATTATCCTGTTTGGTTATTGTAGATAGATGCTTCTTGTTGGCTGGTGATTATTAAACATATTTATTTTCCATTGAATTTAATACTGTTCCTGTGCTAACCACTCTGTCTCCACACGGAGGAACTGAAGTTATATATAATCCCTGTCCCTACTCATTGGAGAGAGCTAAACAACTCTGCCGGGTGATTCAGAGGCTTTTGAAAATGCTGAGCAGAGACCTGACTAGAGCCAGCGAGGACAACGGCAAGCCCAAGGACTTGGATGAAATTAGGGCCGTCTGAACATGGCCAAAGGACAGCGTCAGGCTAAGTTTTATAAGAAAAGGCTTAGTTTTGTAACTATAAGCTACAAAGAACTTTATAGTTTTATAAACTTAAAAAGGCCAAGTTTTATAAGAAAAAGATAAGCTTTAAATGAAAGGGTTTTTTTTCCCCTTGACACCAGCTGCAAAAGTAATCACCTGTCCCTCTGGCGTAGAGTTTACGGACAGTTGATTTTAAACCCTATAACTGGCAGTGCAGCATTTTCAGAGTTTTGAAGTAGCAGGAGTTGCTGCTGACTCACTGGAAAGCGGTGTGGCAAACAACGTCCAAAAATCAGATACTGCTTCCTGTAGTGCACGAAGCTGCGGCTTTCAGGGATCTCCGCTCGTGCAGGTGGCAGCGCCTTTGTTCCCTGAGCCAGCTGTGAAAGGATCTTTTCATTGCTCTCCTGTGATTAGAAACCAGTTACAAATGTCACATGAGACCAGTAGCTACTGCAATAGCGAAGGATCAACAGTATTAACAACGATTTAGCTAAAAGGAAAGGAAGCCAAGTTGGAAGGAAGAGGATAATGCAAGTAAGTTACAAATACCATGCGCTGGTATAGTGTTCTGTAACAAGCTTTACACCTTAATATTAACAAGTAAACAATTTAAAGAAGTCAATAGTGGGTTGCTATACCAAGCTAAAAACATGGCTAAACTTACACTGAGAGTTCTACTCTCTCATTACCAATTCGAACATGCAGGTCAGGAAGCTCTCACGCAAGGGTTTGTGGTGTTCGGCAGAAGTTTCAGCACAGGTGTGCTATAAACACATTATGCAAAATCTCAAAATGGTGGTTTAGCAGTTTTTTTAGCATTCTGGAAGACATCTCAGACACTTCTATGTTATTTCCCTTCTCTTCAGAATTTTCTTTACCTGTCCCTTTTCCACCCCGAGACTGTGACTATACATTAAGCTAAATAACATTAAATCCTCTTCTGCTGTTTTCCTTTTCTGTTTTCAGGGAGGGAATGACTATGAAATTTTCACAGACTCCAGAACAGAAGGCCACAGCGTCACATCCCCACAGGATACACGAAGAATCTGTGAAGAGCTATTTTTTAAATAAAAGACTTCTAGAGTTCACACTTACAAAACGGTTAAGACAGCTTAATAACGCAAAACATCTTCCTTCATTCTGTATTGTTTTTCGTAATTGGTCGGTCACTACAGAAGGGAAGCTGCTATTTAAAAGATGAACCTTTTAGAGGGTTTTTTAAAATACTACCTTATGGCATACAGACATGAATTAGAAGACAGTTGGGATTTTCTTGTTTAAAACTGGAAGATGAGTAAGAGAGACAGGTTTTCTTTCTTTCTGGGGGTGGGAAGGTAGAACTGAGCCAGGAGTCCCCGACCTCACACGTGTTCCAGTGCACGGTCGGAAGGTGCGTCGAGTTACCCCCACTGGAAAGGCTGGACCAACCGGTGCTCGAGTTACCTCCTTGGTGCAGTTGCGGTGCCAATGCACAGGACAGCTCACAGTACCTACGCTTTTTGCTGACTGTTTTTAAATCTAAAAAATAAAAAAATTAATTAGAACAACTTGAGCATAGCAGCAAAATTACATTTCTGATTTTCCTGGTAAGACATTAAGGGTAGATGAGATTTTAGTACTAAGAAAAGTGTTTCTATTAAAATTCAAGTTGAAGCACGACAATCAGTGTAACTGTCAGTATCACTTTTCTCATCTGGCATTAGGAAAGTAATCTTGTGTATGAACAGTTTAATTTAGTACAGGAGAATAAAATCTCATTTTATCATGAAAAATTACTATTTCATCATTTTGGCAAATAAAATACGTAAAGCAGACCTGTTGTACGCTGCCTGTCTGTACAAAGACATGATTGACTTGAATCTTTCCACTTCCAAGTTGGTGATACTTAACTGTAAAAAAGGGGAGAATACAATCTTTGTGTACAAACCAAAATCCCCAGAAGGGCTCACAAAAAAGGAGGGGGAGCTGTGACACCCTCATGCACCAGAACTACCTAGTCTTCTAACGCCCTTCTCACGTGCCTACTTCTGTAGGGTAATTCAGCCTCGACCATTTTAATGGGTGCAGACTTGGGACCAGAAGCATCCGTAGTGCGGGCGGGCTCTTTGAAGATGGCCACAATTCAATAGCTGCTGCGTTGGGTGTACACACAGGCGACGTATCTGATTATCTGGTTACTTAATGCATGGATGCTTCCTGTATTTGCAGAAAGTTACCTATGCAAAACATCCTGTGCAGGGCCTAAACCAGATTTCTTTTCAGCCTCCAATACAATCAATCATCGGTGTGCACATACCTGCGCATGTTCAAATCTTAAAAGTTAGCTTGCTAGTCAGTCTTGCGCAGCCATTGCCAATAGCTAAGGTTTATCTTCTGCCTCTCATGCCCCCGGATGAGAGCCTGTCTCTCTGGGGGGAGAAGAAACAGAAAACAGAACCAAGCAACCCACAATGCCTAGTCCCTTCTTCCCATCTTTCTTACTTTCTCTAGTGTGAGTTTAAACAAACAGGGCAGGCTCAGTCCTTCCTGCCCTCGGCCGCTCCTGCTCAGGTCCCATCCCCTGAAGCCTGACTAAAGCTTTGCTGCAACACCTTGGAATAGCGGCTGCTCTCTCGGGAGCCCCTTCTGAAACGTTCTGGCCTTCCTGCCCCAAGTTTCAGACAAAACGACCAGGCTGTGTTGTCCCTCCCTCTTACCCCCTACTATATGTTAATATAACTAATAGCTAATATTAAATATCATGTAATGAAAATAAATGTATTTACAGAAGTAGTAGTATATATTATACGCTAACCTATTAAGCAGCTAGAAAACTTGCTAAGTTACTCCTTAATTGTTCTGGTAATGCCAGTCAGTTGGTATTACAGCGCTTTTTAAAAAAACTTTTAAATATCATCATACAGGTGTGCATATGCAGGCACCTGCATTCTCCTCTGTCTTTAATGCTAATCATCTTCAACGCCGACTACGCAGAGAGCAGACTGAAGACATACGTTACAGCATTATAATGGTCGCATTTATTGTAACGGAAGCAGTGTGTGATATTCCAACAAGCTGGATAGTGTTAAAACCACAACTACTACGTCTTACGGTTAATAAAAACCCCCGCTACAGGCTGGTCATTATCGTACGCTACAGTGTAATACAGGCACAGCTGAGGTAAAACGAGCCATCACAGCAGTTACTAACCTCCACACATCTGTGCTCTCCCCAGGTCAGACCCCAGAACGGATCACCTGCTGTGAAAGGGTCTTAAGACATTTCATGACAGCGAGCGCCCATTGTTAAAACTGCAAAGAGGCAACTGAAGTTACACCGTTTCACAAAACTAACAGAAGAGTAGCATGCCATCGTTTTGGTTTTTTTTTTTTTTATTTGCAAAGTCAATAAAAATCCACTGTTAGGAACAGAATAGAGAAAAATGCTTCATTTGAAAAAAAGATGTGGAAGGCGAACAGGAACAGAACTAACTCAGTTGCACTACAACTACGTGAAATCTTGCAGGCAGAGAAGAGTCAGGGCACGGGTGACAATATCACATCCTACCAAGCAAGTTTTCCAGGGAAACAGCTGCAGAATCTACTTCACCAAGACAGCTGAGCCTATTAAGTAACTCGCACAGTATTTTATACACAGTCATCTGAACAGCGTGTAAGTTGCTTTTCAGAAGTACAGTTATTCTGCCTGCCCAGTGAAATACCGTGGCAGACTTTCAACTATATGCAATCAAGAAGGTAATCTTCAGCTTTGCCTAAATTCAGACATAGTCAGAGGCTATGAAGTATCCACTACTCTATGGCTTTCTACCACTTACTTTGAAGCAAATTTCTTAAATTTTGGTTTGTTTTGTTTGTTGGTTTTTTTTTTAATACTGGCCTATAAAATCTGTTGCTAGTCAACCATCAAGGCACCTAAGTAAATTCACAAACAATCCAGGCTTTAAAACCACAATATTCCACACGTATGCAGATGTGCCGTTTGCAAACGGTGCACCTGAAGGGCACCCAGCCGTGGCCATCGGAGCGTAACCACCAGATGGAGATTTTCCACCCTGCAGCAGCTGCTCTGCTTGTGAACTTCCTTCCACAAGCAAAACAAATCGCAGCAATGAACACCTCTCTCTCCCAAGCCAAGGCATTCAGGCATGTTACCAGCAATAAGCATACTCCAACTCTTACACAAGAGCAGCTCAAGGGAACACAGTGCTCACGCACGTCTGGGGCCTCGGAGTCATGCCTCTGCTACGGCCGTCCGCGCTAGAAGAGCTCTCCTTCAAACCTCTCCCCCATTCCCCTGGGCATTTCTGGAATCAGTTCACAAGATAAAAGAAAAACCAAACCTCCCCCCCTCCACCAAGCACACAAACTAGGTCTCTTTAAAATGTTTTTTGTAAACACATTACAATAGATATATTTTTCATTAGCATCTGAATTGCCTTTTTTTTTTTTTTTTTAATTAGGGGCTCGACCATTTTAATGGGTGCAGACTTGGGACCAGAAGCATCCGTAGTGCGGGCAGGCTCTTTGAAGATGGCCACAATTCAATAGCTGCTGCGTTGGGTGTACACACAGGCGACGTATCTGATTATCTGGTTACTTAATGCATGGATGCTTCCTGTATTTGCAGAAAGTTACCTATGCAAAACATCCTGTGCAGGACCTAAACCAGATTTCTTTTCAGCCTCCAATACAATCATCGGTGTGCACATACCTGCGCATGTTCAAATCTTAAAAGTTAGCTTGCTAGTCAGTCTTGCGCAGCCATTGCCAATAGCTAAGGTTTATCTTCTGCCTCTCATGCCCCCGGATGAGAGCCTGTCTCTCTGGGGGGAGAAGAAACAGAAAACAGAACCAAGCAACCCACAATGCCTAGTCCCTTCTTCCCATCTTTCTTACTTTCTCTAGTGTGAGTTTAAACAAACAGGGCAGGCTCAGTCCTTCCTGCCCTCGGCCGCTCCTGCTCAGGTCCCATCCCCTGAAGCCTGACTAAAGCTTTGCTGCAACACCTTGGAATAGCGGCTGCTCTCTCAGGAGCCCCTTCTGAAACGTTCTGGCCTTCCTGCCCCAAGTTTCAGACAAAACGACCAGGCTGTGCTGTCCCTCCCTCTTACCCCCTACTATATGTTAATATAACTAATAGCTAATATTAAATATCATGTAATGAAAATAAATGTATTTACAGAAGTAGTAGTATATATTATACGCTAACCTATTAAGCAGCTAGAAAACTTGCTAAGTTACTCCTTAATTGTTCTGGTAATGCCAGTCAGTTGGTATTACAGCGCTTTTTAAAAAAACTTTTAAATATCATCATACAGGTGTGCATATGCAGGCACCTGCATTCTCCTCTGTCTTTAATGCTAATCATCTTCAACGCCGACTACGCAGAGAGCAGACTGAAGACATACGTTACAGCATTATAATGGTCGCATTTATTGTAACGGAAGCAGTGTGTGATATTCCAACAAGCTGGATAGTGTTAAAACCACAACTACTACGTCTTACGGTTAATAAAAACCCCCGCTACAGGCTGGTCATTATCATACACTACAGTGTAATACAGGCACAGCTGAGGTAAAACGAGCCATCACAGCAGTTACTAACCTCCACACATCTGTGCTCTCCCCAGGTCAGACCCCAGAACGGATCACCTGCTGTGAAAGGGTCTTAAGACATTTCATGACAGCGAGCGCCCATTGTTAAAACTGCAAAGAGGCAACTGAAGTTACACCGTTTCACAAAACTAACAGAAGAGTAGCATGCCATCGTTTGTTTGGTTTTTTTATTTGCAAAGTCAATAAAAATCCACTGTTAGGAACAGAACACTGTTAGGAACAGAATAGAGAAAAATGCTTCATTTGAAAAAAAGATGTGGAAGGCGAACAGGAACAGAACTAACTCAGTTGCACTACAACTACGTGAAATCTTGCAGGCAGAGAAGAGTCAGGGCACGGGTGACAATATCACATCCTACCAAGCAAGTTTTCCAGGGAAACAGCTGCAGAATCTACTTCACCAAGACAGCTGAGCCTATTAAGTAACTCGCACAGTATTTTATACACAGTCATCTGAACAGCGTGTAAGTTGCTTTTCAGAAGTGCAGTTATTCTGCCTGCCCAGTGAAATACCGTGGCAGACTTTCAACTATATGCAATCAAGAAGGTAATCTTCAGCTTTGCCTAAATTCAGACATAGTCAGAGGCTATGAAGTATCCACTACTCTATGGCTTTCTACCACTTACTTTGAAGCAAATTTCTTAAATTTTGGTTTGTTTTGTTTGTTGGTTTTTTTTTAATACTGGCCTATAAAATCTGTTGCTAGTCAACCATCAAGGCACCTAAGTAAATTCACAAACAATCCAGGCTTTAAAACCACAATATTCCACACGTATGCAGATGTGCCGTTTGCAAACGGTGCACCTGAAGGGCACCCAGCCGTGGCCATCGGAGCGTAACCACCAGATGGAGATTTTCCACCCTGCAGCAGCTGCTCTGCTTGTGAACTTCCTTCCACAAGCAAAACAAATCGCAGCAATGAACACCTCTCTCTCCCAAGCCAAGGCATTCAGGCATGTTACCAGCAATAAGCATACTCCAACTCTTACACAAGAGCAGCTCAAGGGAACACAGTGCTCACGCACGTCTGGGGCCTCGGAGTCATGCCTCTGCTACGGCCGTCCGCGCTAGAAGAGCTCTCCTTCAAACCTCTCCCCCATTCCCCTGGGCATTTCTGGAATCAGTTCACAAGATAAAAGAAAAACCAAACCTCCCCCCCTCCACCAAGCACACAAACTAGGTCTCTTTAAAATGTTTTTTGTAAACACATTACAATAGATATTTTTCATTAGCATCTGAATTGCCTTTTTTTTTTTTTTTAATTAGAGGCCAGCTGTAAAAATAGTAATTTTGGCCTACTTCTGCTTTATTGACAATGCGGAATTTCCTCCCGCACAATATGTAGAATATTCTTAGGACGGGTCCCCTGCAGCCAGTTGTTGAGCAGTGACGATGCAGGCAGCGGCCGCACTCCCTCCGGGACACCTCAGGAGCTGATGACGTGCCCCGACCAGGTCTCGTGCTTGGTTCCAGGAGCTAGATGGGTAATCACCACCTCCACCGCCTGAAGCTTCTCGTTCTTCGGTGGGATGGTGCACATCTTGTAGGTGACCTCATCGCCTGCCACGGGAACATACTCGCCTTCGATACTGTGGAGGGGAAGCTTCAGTTAATCATAAATCACATAAACGCTCTTACTCTTTTGCAACTTACTTAAATTTTTATCATAATGATTATCTTAGGTTCTCAAGATACTTCAGGTTTTTTTAGAGAGCCCATCACCCACCAAAGCTTGAGGTTGGTTTTGGTTGCCTTGCAGCAAAATCTTATGAAAACACTGTAAACACCACCACCCTAAAAAACCCAAACAAACAAGCAAAAACAAACACAAAAAACCCCACACTCTAACATGCCTTAAAAAATAATCAGCTGAGCGCGGCCTTGGACAACATTGCTGTGAACCATGCAACCATCTCTTACTCACCGGCAGCACTAGAGGGCAGGGCTGACACTGTTTGGCGCTTCACTTGGGAGTTTGTTTTTTTAAACTATAGGAAGTTGATTCCCCCCCCTCTTCTCACGCTTCTGAAGCTCTTCCCCCCCCTTTTTCTTTTTTTTAAAGAAGGATTGTACCATGTCAGTCATTGATTTTATCTTTAGGTTACTCCACCATAACATAGTTCATCTGAGGTACAGAAACAAAAAAAGCCCAAGTAAGACACCATGTGGACTACTTCAAAATGACTTGCTGTGAAAAGAGAGAGTTCTGTGACCCTGACATGTTACACCGCAGAAACTCTCCTCCAGCATCCAGCACTTAGGAAGATTTCCAAGAGTCGCTCACTCCTAACCTAGCCTCTACCAGCATGATGACGTGGGATGCTGGAGAACTCGCACTGTGCATTTGTTACTGCAGGCGAGTCCTTACCTGGAAACAGTGGGAAATGGCAAAAGGGCTGTCACCTTCTGTACAGAACTATGTACTGATGAAACAGAGAACTGCAAAGGGTAGCAGCATTCCTCGCTTCTACTGCTGCGTTCAAGATGAGAGCTTTTTAATAAAAATCCCAGCATGCGCCAACGAAGACAAGCAGAGATGCCTTCCAACCTGCATTGCTGTGATTCTCTGACAGTAGAAAGGATGCTACTTTACCTTTCTTCAAACATACCTATGCGATCCCATGCTCAGGTTCCCCTTCTCTGACAACCTAGGCTCTAGGTTTCTTCTTGTTTGAGGGATTTTTCAGTGTTTCTCAGCAGCATTTGTATTTGTGAACAGATAAACACCATTGAGTTTATTTGCCTTCACTGAGAGCATACTGGGAACATACTCACACCACCCAGGAATTTTACCCCACAAGTGCTTCTGTTATTGCAGGGACCTAAGATTTTAGCAGTGCCCTTCGTATCCACTCTCATCTTGTGACCCATTATTGTTATGGCTTTTCTATTGCAGGAAAGACTGGCAGGACTGATAGGAGGCAAATATACCATCACTTACTGAAGTTGTAACTTCACATCAGATTTTGCCTCTCCCCCCAGTTCTGCAAAACTGCTTCAGCTTCATCTCCTGCACTGCTTCTCCCCCACCCTTCCCCCTTTAAGGGCTGCCTCAGCTTCTGCTCCCCTCCAACTTGTGCATCACGACTGCTGCTCAGGGAGCTGGTGCATCGGGCTGTGGCTGAGCAGAAGCAGCCTGTACTCAGGGATGAGACGGGGTAAGCAGGCATGCACAGGGGAAGCTAAAACTGACCCATAAATTATAACTTCTCCCATGGGAAATTCAGAAGAAAAGTCATTGTTTGCTAACTGATTGTATCAACATGATATTGAAAATGTTCCTGTATCTAAATATGGATTCTAAAACCTGCTACGAGGAGTTAAAGGCATTCCCAAGGCCTGTGGCTTGAAACACATGTCCTTCAGACTTTACTTCCCTGGGCTAAACCCCTACTCCAGCGCTGCCTGTGACTGCGGGAATCAGACCCAAGAGGGCATGTTCTAAGCTGAACTCTTCAGAGCAGTGCCTGGGAAAATGGCAGTAAATTGAAGGCAGAAAAAAATATTTACAGAAAAGTCAAGATAAAGCCTCCTTCATCAGACCTGACAGCCCTTTCCTCCCCACGCAGGCTGATCCAACTGACCTTTATTTACTTCCAAAGTCTCCAGGCCAACCTGTCAGCCCAGCCCTGTATCACACTGGACAGACTATGTCCAAGCTCCCACGTCTAGTCTCTTGCTGTGGCTGTCCTCTTCAGTTATCGCCTTCACTTATACCCCACCTCCCCCATTTCTAACAAGTTTAAGATTTCTTCAGGTGTGAAGGGGTTGCACACCCAATACTTACTGTCCTTTCAGGAACAGAGATTAGTTTTCCTTTTTTACTGCCAGAGGAATTTGCCACCAAATTCTCTGCAGCTTACCCTGACTTTGAAACAGAAGATTTCAAGCAAGGATGAGAAGATGCTACTTGTACTGTCTCAGAGCCTGACAAGTGGACATGAAGCCCCAAGAAGAGACACAAGAGAGGGTCAAACCACGAGTGAAAATAGGAATGCCATGTAAAAAAGTGACATGATCTTTCCCACTTGAATCTCTTGAATGATCCCTTGTTGCCAAAAAAAATGTTGCTATTGAGCTAAAACCACATTCCCATGAGCAGTAACTCGCAACACAACCTATGCAGGATGTCAGTCCCACCTGAGGAAGGTAGCATCTTCCAGTGGAAGGCAACACAGCACAGACATTTTATCCACACAAAGGAACACAGGACTAGCAAAACAGTGAGCAGAAACATTTCCTAGCTCAGATCTAATGAACGTAGACAACACGAGCCGAAGCGGAAAGTCTACACTGACTCAAGTACAGCTCAGCCACTGGAACAAGTCATAATGAAACATGTTTCTTCATGTGGCCTTGAGCACTGGGACCAGCTGCAGACACTGTTTCAGGGAGCACAGGCAGAGCAGTTACATGGGGCTGGAACTAAAGCAGCATCTCCTCTTGACATTACAGCCGCCCACTCCACAGCCCCAGGTATTGCCTTTGATTCCTGCACAGAGGATGAACACGCACAGCGAGCAGTGAGCTCAGAGTCACCACTTTGCAGGCATCAAATGAAACGGATGCCCTGCCCAGGAAGGGATCTCATGTTTGGCTGAAAGGTTTTTTTTGACTAACAGGAACCTTACATGTTCTTTAAAAGCTCCTGTAAAACAGGATGAGACGCAGTTAGCGAAATAAACATTTGCAATCTGCAAAAGATATCAGTAGGTATGGTTAATGTAGAAGGAAAGTGGATTCACAACATCTCATGAAGCTCCAAAGACATGCCAATACACAAAGGCAGTGTTTTAAGCTCCCAAAAACCAGATATAAATTAGTTATCCCTTGAATTTTCAAATTCAAGTGAGGAAGAAGTACAGCTTGAGTGCTAAAAAAGATGGGGGTTTTGTTGGGGTGTTTGGTTTGAAATTGAAATACGAATATATACCAGGATGGGTTCTGGTAAGAAAGGGGTTGTAGGTGTACTGGTAACCAAAGTGGTCCCATTTTTTCAAGAAATCAAGAACAAGTGAATCAGTACACACACAGAAACGGTATGCCTGGCGGGCTGCAGTCAGGGAGAGGAGAAGCAAAGGGACTGACCCAGGCTGGAGGACACACTCTCAGCTATCACCGAGAGCTACTGCATCCCTCAGCACTTATTAGATGACTGGTTGGAGTACCGTCTACAGCCCCTGGTCTGCACAGGGAAAAACAAAACAAACCATTTGCTGACCCAAATTTCTTACACTTGAATCATGAGGTCAATTACTCCTATTCCTTCCTCTAAACAGATGACATCAGCCCCAAAATCTGCACAGCCCTAAGCGCTACCCAGAAAGGTACACTTTTCTCCACCAGAAAGCACTTCTTACAGGACCGAGCACTATGCTGACAGCGTCAGATCCTTTCTTGTATTTTTTCCCTTATCCAAACTGACACTGCAAGAGACTGAAGCTTGTGATGAAACCTCATTCAACCCCAACACGGCTTCTTCTCGTCCCCTAGTTTGTCTTATTTCTTTCCTTGCTTCTTGAGGTGACCTTACCTCATCAAGACCAGGCCTGTCCTTTGCACAGCTGTCTAAAAAGGTTGTGGCCACACAAACAGCTCGAATTTCATTTTATGCTTTTGGCCTTTAAACTTTTCTCCCACAGATCAGATGTTCTTTTCTTTCCTGCAGCTTTCTGATTACCAGTTACTCATGGTGCCTACCGAATATGAAATTATTAACTCATTGCCCCCAGTGCACATGAAAAGCGAGAGGACAAAGGTCTTAGTTTGCAGCCTGAGTAAACCTGTTTGAACAGTGTTCCCAGCACAGTGTTTGCCCACCAAATGCTGCTTCTGGCATAGATGCAGACTTACTCCAGCATTGTTATCGCTATGTGATGCTTAGAAGCAGGAACAAACAACATCCAGATTGTGCAGTACTTCTGATGGTGTCAAGAACGAACAGTATTATGGCCCTTGAAAGGTAATGACATGGTATGACACTGGAGGCACAGCCCTACACAAAGCTGCAGGAAGATCCTCCATCAGGAAGCAATTGTCTTAAGCTCTGGGAGGGAAATGAACTGGAAAAGATCAGAGAAAGTAAACAGAGATCTTGGAACAGATTCAGCCTACAACAGCCACTCTATATACAATATAAGTTACCTGGATAATTTGGTAGAAGTTGTTAAACATGGACTTTTTTTCATGTTCTATATTGATTAAATATTTTTAGATCTGTATTTTTTACTTTTACCCTAACTATATATTAAGTGTTGATCTAGAGGAAGATGGAAATTTTCACTGCTATTTAACAGATTGGTAGGCATGTTCTGTTAAAAATAATGGATACCTATGTATCCAGGAACTTTAAGACGCTTCGACAAATTAAGCTAAAAATAGGAAATGCTTTCCTGATGTTAGTGTCAGAGTGAGACACAACAGAGTGAGTTTTAGATTATCCAGCAACTCCCATTTCCCAGCTCAGCGCCAGTCTGGTACAGTGGAGCATTTTATCCTGCACTATTTTTAGGGAACTGGGAGGTTATTAGGAAATTACCTAAATAAGGAATGTTCTAGTTCTTCCTTCTCACAGCTGCTATTCATATTC